AGCATTTCTGTTAGAGTGTACAACAGAAATTCTAATCAGCAATTGGTTGCATTAGTTCCGCATTTCTCTAATCTTCCGCGAAATACGCTCAATGTGAATACGGGCTTTCAGAATGGCGTATTCTAGTAATAAAAAAAAAATAACGTATTCTAGTAAATTACTAGTATACGCAGGTTACGCTTACGCAGGTTAAGCCGCATGTGACGACACCCTGAGTTTGAAGATTGAAAGATTGAAGTTTAACCAATCAGAACAAAAGGAACTTAAATTTCTTTGTTCTCATTGGTGAAATTTCAATCTTTAATCTATAATCTCAATCTTCATTGCATACTCTGATTCCGGCCTTACGCTCTTTACTGTGATTGGTCAATTCACTTACTGCTTGCGTGTTACGGCCTTATGTTCTTGTATGTGCCATGAGCTTAAGTCCGCAAACACAATAGAGTAGTAAGCTTTAAGTCTTAAGGAATTAACCAATCATAGTCGATTATTCGTCTTATGTTACGGAAGGTGTGTGCGACAGCCCTTAAGGTTTCGTTTGGCAACCCTGCTATCACTTGTCATGACCCGCGAAAAACAAAATGTCCGACATTGACGACATGTAAGTAGACATTTGTTATAACAAAATTTATATATTTAATTAATATTAATTGTATAATATTAAAGTTATTTTTCACGATCTTCTTTCAGCTTAATGGAGGACGCGAACGCCAATATTAATGAATTAATGGCCCTGAGGGCTGAAGTTCTAATATTGCGTAAAAAACTATCAGAACCACAGTCCTCAGAGCCATTGCTGCCATTAGGGCAGCTCATGCCGTCCGCCCAACCAGCGGCGACGAAGCCGCTCGGACCAGCGGCGACGCAACCGCCCGAACCGGCCGCACCGGGACCAGCGGCAACGCAGCCGCCCACGCCGGAACCACCGGCCTCAGAAGAAAAACGTAAGTAAATACACCTTTTTTGTCAGATTCTTTCGTTTATGCAAAATAAACCAAAATTACCTTATAGTAAATAAGTAGAGTTAGATAATAAATAATTCATTAATTCATTAATCATTACAGCCAGACGCTGGCAGAAAAGCCGCCACAGCAGACACGCTGGAGAACGCGGTGGCCGCGGAGGCCGCGGAGGACGCGGAGGCCGCGGAGGGCGCGGAGGCCGCGGAGGCCGCGAAGAAAATGGAATTAAAAAAATTTATATTTTTAAGTAAAACTGTAATATATATATATATATACAAATAAATATAAAGTTCAGTAAATACAAACGTAAATACATAAGTTTATTATATACATACATAATATGTCATTACTACTATATAAATCATAAAAGATCGTCGATGCACCACAGCACAGTCATCACCAATGTCATTGCCAATGACATTGGTGATGATTAGGGCCCGGATCTACGGGCGCGATCCCAGGTCCGCGCACAGAGCATCACTGCGTGCTAGTGAGTCGAACGGTCGCTGAAATAAGATGGCTCATTTCACCGAGCGTTCGACTCACTAGCACACAGTGGTGCTCCGCGCGAAACCCGGATCCCGCCCGAACATCCAGGCCCTAGTCATTGCGATCAATTTATTTCGGATTAATAAGACATTCTCTAATCTTTCTCCTGCCTTTTCGTTGCCTGTAAATTTAAGATAATAATGTTCACCATGATAAGAATAAGAAATTATAACAGAAATCAATTAAGGAAGAATGACCAATGTGAGCCAACACAAAATGTTTTTTGGGAAACAATAACTTTCATATATTATAAATCATAAGTATAAATTACAGACGTTTCGACATCATTATTGTGTTTGCTTCAAATGTATAAACCATATTCTAGATGTAGTAAGCAAGTTTACTTTATTTCACTGGGACGTTTACTACATCTAGAATGTAAAGAGGACACAATAATGATGACGAAACGTCTGTAATTTATACTCTAGATTTATAATATATGACAGTCATTTCACAAA